CCCCAAAACCCCAAAACCCCAAAACCCCAAAACCCCAAAACCCCGTTAATAACCTCTTTAGTTGAAATTTATATACTTTAAAGCAGATTTGAATTAAAATTTCCTCCTCTCATGCACTCCTTTTGATGATCCGTAGTAAGACCCATGGCCTTTCCCATGAGTGGTAGAAGGTCTTGAGCGGCGGTCCATGCTTCCCTCCTTTCTCACATAGCTACTTGATGAGTATTTCTTCTTTGAATAATGAGTGGAGTACTCTTTCTTTGAGTATCCCACTGATGACTCCTTCTTAGAATAGCCCGAGGAGTCTTTTCTTGGATACCCTGTAGCATCTTTCTTAGAAAATCCTCCTGCACCATATTGAGTAGAGTAACCCATGGCAGCAGCCTTCTTCTTTTTCAAGTATGCTTGTTCCTGTAACATCTTTCTCTTCCTGAGTTCCTTCTTTCTCCGATGGATGTCAGTATAAATCTTCAGTCTGTATTCTTTGATTGAAAACTTCTTGTTATCGTCAATTGGGATGGTAATCACTTTCTTGCACACAGGCTCTTTCTCGATCACATGAAATTGTGACACATATGGATGCTCCAAGCACTCCTCTACAGTCAATCTATCAGAAGGATTAAATTTCAGCAATTTGTTCATTAAATCAATAGCATCCTCAGAGGCTGATGGGAAGATACTCTCTAACGAAGTCTGCTTAGTGTGAGGGATAGTAGAGAATATCTTAGTACAATGAGGTGAATTCATTGAGTCTATCTCTTCTTGTGATGGCATCCCAGTAATTTTTAAGACTCTTTCTATTTGGTTCAGCGTTGATACTCCAGGGAACATTGGCTTTCCAAGCATTAGTTCTGCCAATATTCACCCGACCGACCACATGTCTACCCCTTTTGTATATTTATGCGACCCAAATAGAATTTCTGGCGCTCTATACCATCTTGTTGCTACATAATCTGTCAATAATGGCTCTTTATCTTCTTCGCATTGAGCGACGGACCTGGCTAATCCAAAATCAGCTACCTTTGCATGACACTCAGCATTCAGCAAGATGTTGCTCGGCTTCAAATCTCGATGTAAAAGGTCGGCAGAATGCATATACTTAAGTCATTTCAAAACCTGATAGACAATATATCTCTTATGGACGTCTTCCAAAATATTGGCTTTAATAACAGCATGTAGATCAGTCTCCATAAAGTCAAAAATAAGGTAAATATCCTTATCATTCTCTGCTCTGATAACATTTAACAACTTCACGATATTTTCGTGACCATATAGCTCTTGCAAAAATACGATCTCTCTAAAAGTTCTTTGTGCATCAGTTGAGTTCTGGAATGCATCGAATACCTTATTTAAGTGCACAGATTTTCTTGGACTTCTTATCGATGACCTTCCAGACCACACCGTAGGCACCCTGTCCTACTTTCTGAAGTACCTCGTACTTTTTGAGAACGTGATTTTCAATTTTATCAGTCATTTTTAAATTATTCAATTATATAATTAGGCTACGGGGTTTTGGGGTTTTGGGGTTTTGGGGTTTTGGGGTTTTGGGG